TAATATAATATATAACATATATAATATATTATATTTTACATATATATATATATATATATATGTATGTATGCGTGTGCGTGTCACATGAGAAAACTATCAGAACCAAATTTGTATTTGTAAACATATATATGTGTGTGTGTGTGTGTTTACAAATACAAATTTGTTTCTGATAGTTTTCACATGTGACATTTTCAAGTGTATTTTAAAATATCTTGGGATATTCCTGAACTTTTTGTTTTCTGGGACCAAGGGGATTCTGTCAATGTGAATTAAATGGAGCAGCAGAAAGGAATTGAGTTAGCAACTGAACCACTTTGGTAAGAAGGATGAGGGTGTTGTCCCCCTATACTCAACTGAATCTATTTTTGACCTTTTACTTGTTCTTAAGTTCCTGAAGCCAGTGGTTTTCTGTTTTGTATTGGAAAAAAACACTTTGCTGCTATGCTTTGTCCACTGAAGGTTATAGTGTTTTCTATGGAGAACTTACCTTTGCAGATTTTTAAAAAATTAATTGGTAATTAGATTTTGTCTTACAATGGTGTTTTCCAATGGGAAGTGCTACTGTTTCTAAAAGATTTGTTCAAAGACCAACTTTTAATCCATGACCAAAATGTCTAACTTTACCATCAGTTCATATTAATATTCGTCATTAAAATGGTTTGTGGGCCTAAGCAACAAAGAAAAGATGAACAGTTTTGCTTACTTTCAAATTAAAAAATTAAGTTTAATTTTTCTTCTTTCTATTAGCCTCGTAATGTTGCTGGTTTCCGGGGAACAGTCCGGTATGCTTCAGTGAATGCACATAAAAATAGAGTAAGTTTTGTCTCCATGTGTATGGAAGGGGTTAAGTGGGAGAGGTTAAAGGAGAAGTATTCTTTTTGCTGTTCAGTGTGGGGTAGGAGTGACATACAGAGTACATACTGGAACCAGGTGTGAATCAAGGTAGAGTTTGACAGGGTGTGTATGTTGTATTATAGTGTACATAAACATTTTCTTTGTTCCTTTATTTTACAATATTTTTGTACTACTCCAATCAAACTGACTGTGTGGAGCCATAAACAGAATATCTGCACCATTTAAAAAAAACAGCTACCACAAATAATCAGTTGTCCACCAATTGGCCTAGAATCCAAACGCCTGTTGAAAGACATTGTTTAAAAGGCCTTCATGAACAAAATGAGGGTATGAGCAATTGCATCTGTGGAGACAGCATGTTTCTCAGCGTGGGGACTGCTAGCAAGAAAGCCTGTGTTTTGATTCCAGATCCTTTATTCATGTGGGACCTTTAACAAGCTTGCCATAGATGTTTGGAGTTGATAGGTGGAATCATATTTTGTAAGGTGATCCCTGATATACTCTGGTGCTGTGCTATATAGGGCTTTATAAGTAATAACCATCACTTTGAATTGGTCTCAGAAGCCTACTGGTATCCAGTGCAGTGACCTGAAGATGGGCATAATTTTGCAGCAACAGGTTTCCCAGAATCACAGTCTGATCATTACATTTTGCATCAATTGCTGCTTCTGAGTCATCTTCAAATGCAGCCCATGTAGGGTGCCTTATGGTAGTGCCGGTTTGGACTTAAATTATTGTTGCAAAGGCAGCAGGTAGGACCATAACAGGTTGTATCTGGGAAAAGGCTTCCTTTTTTTTAAAAAAAATAATTTTATTAGAGTTTACAAATACAAAGATAAAAGACTAATACAAGCTAAGGAAAATATAAAAAGAAAAGAAAAAAAGAGAAGTGCAAAGAGATAGAAAAAAGAAAAGAAAAAGAGAATATATAAACGATGACTCCTCCTCCCTCTGGACAAGTATAAACAATTTCAGTAACTTAACACCTTCTCTAGTATTTCAATTAAAAAAAAGAAAAAAGATATCTTCTTCCCATATCTCATCCCTTAGCAGTAACCAAATTATAAAAACTCATCATTTAGTCCTAATCAGCAAAAGTCTATTAAGAGCTACCAAAAATAGTAACATATGTATTTTAACCTTAATCAAAAAAATCCATTTTGTAATCCAATTTATCACTTTCTCTAAGAAGTAAAGCAGAAGAAATCTCTCCCACTTATAAACAGATTCTTAAAACTTCGTCATTCAGTCCTGATCAAAAAGAAATCCCATTAATAGCTACCAGAAACCACAACATATATTTTAACCATAGTCAAATAAT